ATTGAACTCAAAGTTTAAGTGACATTTATAACAGGAAAATACCATTTCACATTTGCACTTATTTTTGCACTCGGTAATCACACATTTAATGATCCATTTCCGTTTGCTTAATTGTGAGCCAAATACGATAGGTAATCTGATAAATGTTAGTGCGTAACTCGGCAGACCCATACAAAATAGTGCATTGAAAAGCAGTCGTCAACGTCAGTGCAGCTGATTGACTGATTGTTTTTATATGGGGAGAAGTTCCAGGTGGCGGGGAGTAAAAATTACTTGTTGACGAGCCGAGTCTGGCTCAGATCTGATTAGTATTCCCTCCGAATTTGCGGAAAATCCCAAACTTCCGTAGATGGAACAACAGAAAAAATAGGAACTATATTTACTAAAAGTCAGAAAGTACATAAAGAGTGTTTTAGACAAAAAAAATTATCTTCCATGCTACTATTGTCAGCTTGTTAAAAACATAAACAAACCTGATATTCCTTAAATGGTGAGAGTTCATTGTAGTTAACATGTAAATACAATAAAGTTAAAAATACTCACACAAGTGTATCCAATAAATGCATAAGGCTTTTTGTTCATATTAAATGATGATTTTAATTTTTGAAACGTGAGCGAAACTTCGGTAATGCACATCACAACAGAGATCATTGCGCGAACCCGGATAAAAACGTGTCAAAGTTGTAAAATTATAAATTCATATAAAAGTGTTGAACTCTTTTCAACTTTGTAAACAGTAAAAATTCACAATTTCAATCTATCAATGAAGGGGCTTGGTTTTTAGTATGTAAAAGATACAAATTTTATAAATTGAAAATAATGCACCAATATTGATACATATACCAGCCAGTAGTCTATAAATATTTCTAGCAATAAATTCTCCAACATTTCCTCTCTGCTGAGAACTTGACTTCTTGTTTGGGTGCAGAAAAATATTTCCAATTTTCCCAGCCAACGTGTGGGTGTCGCCAACTTTTTATGCGCCTTTGATTTCCCAACTTGACGTCACGAAAAAAATTCGTAGGCTATATTTTTAGCCAATTTCTTTTAGTCAGTGCGTTGATTTAAATACGAAGATATATATAAGTAAAGAGATAAGAGTATATGTGGGAAATGCGATAATAGCAGGTTTGAACTTGACAGAGAAAATTCGTATTTCACTCTCGTTATGCAAATATTTGTCGACACCTTTCATTGATTAAAAGCCAATCACACAAATGAGTCGACATGGCCAAGGCCACCGGAATGTATCTGTATCTCGTAATCGTATCTATGTGTGGGTCACTGCAGTTTGTTTACATTTCGCAGGTGAAACGCCCCAATTGCCCGACGTCACAATGCTTCGATTGAATTACAACCGCCCACCCGCCGCCCATTCCTCCCCCTTGTCAATTACCTGTCGCGACACGTGATGTTAATTTTTCCCGTTACAGGTTTGTGTTGATTGTGACTGGGAAAATCTCAAATCCACTGCTATATCTCAGTATGCAAATTGGCCCTGTCAGTTTGGGATAGCATCTCCATTTCACCGAAAATAAATCCCCATTTAGTTTAGTAGTAAATAGTTAAAATGCCCTTGAAACAGGCCGAGCTAATTGGATTTTGTTTAGCTTAGAGCAACTGCAAAAAGTGTGTTTTTTAGTGGATGAGCTCGTAAAAAAATGCAAATAAATTGACTTCAATGAACTACCCGAGTTTGGTTCCGAATAAATGAAAAGCGGGGGAAAGAGTGGGTAGCGTAAACAAAGTCTGAATAATGTTTTCCACCCATATTGTTATTTTCCTTGTCATTCGAAGGGTTTAATAACTTAACTGACAAAACTAAGTTTCCTAATTTCACTTTCCAATTATAAACTCTAAGTTATTCACATTAAAATAATAATAAAATAATTAAAAAAGCATTAATGAATTAATGTTAAAACTTTTAAACAAAGTATTAATAAAGATAAAGATTTTACACATAGAAATAAAGGATTTAAAAAAAAGTATCTTACAATATATTTTTGTTTAATACCGGTTAACCGGTTTACTTTTTGGATCAGGGTCTACAAGTTGAAGTGCACGTAAGGCTCATGCAATCATTCCCATCTACTTATCAGCAATGAAGTTCTTGCTGAAGCAATCAATAGCTTATATCGTTCGATCGGCTTATCAATTGAAATAGATTCTAGAAAAATTCAACTTAAATAAAAGGAGAACGTTTTAGTTTTCGGACCGAAAAAGATGTGTACGTGACTGTTTTTCAATTTCAAAATGCCGCTTCCCGTTTGAATATAAAGTCAAATTTAAGTTTTAACTAAAGCAGAAAGGTTTGGCGGGGGTTTTTTCAGATTGCTGGGTAGATACCTGGAAGTACTTTGCGGTTGGGAAACTTATGTTCGGGAATTCAGCTTGAACAAAGTGGGGATCATGCCATAAATAAGTGTGTAGATCGTGTATTTTATGAATCGAATTTGTTTATAGCCCATGTTGACATTTGGCACGTTCCAGTGTCTCATCAAGTTTACGCTCAACTTAGCACAAAGCTTTTCCCCCCATCAAAAACGCAATAACATGTTCTCCGGTAGGTTCTATATAAATAGTTCAGTTCGGAAACGCGTGGTGCAGTCCCTAATTAATCATTGTTGGCTGTCAAAACATTCAAGTGGTTAGTGTTAAGACTAAGGGACTCCAACCCCTGACTTCTATATGCTCCCCTTTTTCTATAAGAGGGGATTGCACTGATTGACTGAGTGCACCCATTTTATTTTAACCCATTGACATAGAACAGACATGAAAAGCGGCTTAGACACGTTTGACTTTTCTTTTTTTGCCCTTAAGAATTTATGTATTCGAAAAGTATTACTTCATATAAACAAACTTATTTATGTGCAAAAAAATATATGTTTATATATGTTGACGTTGATTAGAACATTTTTGGTTTAAACTTTGACGTCAAAACATATATATTCCCAAATGTTAAACAAGTTTCCTGAATCATTTTCTTTATTTTGGCTAATCTATGTGATTTATTGTATGGTTTTCAATATCTCGTGACAAGTAAATACCTCTATGTTCGGATTAGGAAAAAAGAATTGTATGGCGCCAAAAGACTATCAGAAACAAAATTGTTGTCCTTTTATGTCAATAAATATTTTGCACAAAAAAAAAAATAAATATATTTATTTGAGATTTAAATATGTTTAAAAAACTTTTTGTTAAATTAAATTTCAAAGAATTTAACTTAAGTTTATTGAAGAAATGTTAAGAGAAAAAATGGTACCTGGTCTAATAACTAAAAACTTTTTCTAACATTTTCATAAAGAAAAATTATTATTAAACAAAAGCGAAGCATAATTGTATTGAATTTATTAACTTATTTTCAAGTTAGTGGAAAATTTTGAATGGAATGCCAATTCTCACACGGTTTCTACATAAATATATAGTCGTGCAAAAAAAAATGTACTCTATTTATTTTCAAATATTTTTCCATTTTTCCTTCTACACGGTAATTTATCACTTTGCCCGTTTTTTTCGTATATGTTTTCCATTTCGTTTTGCTGTTTAAAAAATCAGTGACTTTCAAACTGCGTTTAAGAAACCGGGTGAAACTCAAACTTACCCGCCGAAAAACAAATACACGTGCTTTGTTGTTGCCTTCGCAGCTTCCCACTCGAATTCGTGAACTTGAATTGTCCTTTGAGAGAGCGGGAATGGAAAGGGCTCTCTTTTTTCCTGTTTCTTATTTTGCACAAAGAAAGTGCACGTAATTATATTAAAATATACAGCGGCGGACAAAATTACAGTTTACATGCACGCACAAAAACACACGATGGATAAGCACCGTTACTTGGACATGTACGAAAAATCAGTGGTTTATTCTGATGGAATCCTCCTGCGGCTTTTTGGAACAGAACCGCGCGCCTCGAATTCGCAAAAACGACTGATAGCGTTGATATAGACGGGCCTCCCTCGTCGACGTCGCAGCAGTCGAACACATTGCTACACAGACGGAAAAATTCCTCAATAATATTGTTAATCTTTTTGTAAACTTTTGACCAGAGTTCGGCATTTCCATGTTAAATTAGGAAACATTTTTAAAAATTTGTAATTTGATAAATTAATATATATATTTAAAATTTATTTATGTGTTAAGATAGGAAGAAATAACAAGTGGATAAGTCATGGGGCTTTGAGCATAAATTTATTTAACGATGTAATAATAAATAAATATACATATTAAATTCGTATTTGGTCAAAAATCAAGCATTTTGTTTTATGTATAGTGTAGTACATTGCTTTTGCGTTTGGGAAATTTACGCTCATGTTCTTTTCTCTCTTTCACCTTCCACTCTGCAGTTTTAGTTGTTGTAGCTGCTATTTCATCTCTCTGTGCTTATATTTGCGGTTACGCTTTATGCTTAATTTCCAAACGCGCTTTAAATACGATACACGCTGCGTTGACGTCACAAAAATTGGGGAAAATTTGTTTTTTCAAAAACAGAGTGTGGAATTTCACCACGTCACACTTGTCCAAAGGTGTGGAGTATGAAGGGGTAGATGGGGGAGAAAGGATGCTGTTGGGCATTGTCCTTGGTAAAGGACGCGCAGCTTCATTTCGCACACTTTACAGCGGCTTACGCAAGCCACGTAAGCTGTAAGCTTTTTACGTAGCATTTTGGTGTTAGCTTAAAAAGGAGCAGGATAATAAAAGATTTCAAGAAATCCATAAGAAATGTTTCTGATTTACCTAGAATAAATAAAATAAAGTCACTGAACCTTAGAACATTGACTATTACGTTTAAAAAATCTTTGAACTTATAATTTATGTATGTATATATTAAATTGTTATTTTGAATAAGAAAATGAAGTAATTAATAAACAAATACAAAATTTATTTTGAAGGTCATTTGAACGCCCTTATATTTCCATAAATCAGAAATAAATTATTATTAAAAATTAGTTTCTAATTATAAAATTTTGCTTTCAAATTTCCCTCTTCCAAATCAAAGATAGTCGAATATATTTTAGCATAAAATTTATTTGGTTCCTTTCTTTCGCTCTTGTTCAACATAAGCAACACTTTCGTTTAATCGCTCGACTCTCGGCCTCTTAGCTTATTTAAAATATTGATGTATATATATTTTGTATATATTGAATTCATTTAGCTTAGATGTATAAATATTGTTAAAGTTGAGTTGTTTAAATAATTGAAACGGTAGTTAGTTTGTGGTGTCTTTCTTCAGATAGAGTTAACTACGAGTACTTGCCCTTAAAACTGGAACTGGTCTCATTAAGTTGTGATTGCTTCGAAAAACTTGCGTCTCTCTTTTGGTTAACGTGTCACTTTTCTCCCCGCTTATTCGCTACACTTTATGATATAGTTGTAACATAATTAAAGCATTCAATTGTCATCTTATTCGAGTCTACACGCCGCTTTGTCCACCTCACTGCGACTCCGGCTGAGATTCCGTAGGTTCACTAAAGCCACAGAACCTCCATTTGGCCTGATCTGGCTTAAAGAGGTTTGTGTACTTTCCGAGTATATTGGCAAGATCATCATGGTTACTGGAAGTGATATTGTTACACAGCATTCCATTTAAGTATCTGGCTATGCTGTCGATTTCCACGCCGTGGGGATAAAGCACCAAATAGGCGGAGGCCAGCGCAATTATTTTCGCTTCCGAAAGAGCCAATCTTTTGAAGGCGACCTTAAAGAAAAATGTAAGACGATAAGGATTAAATTTAAGGTCAAAAAGGTGTCCATATATATTATATTCATATTCCATTGCAGATCATATTGTTTTTTACTTTATACTGACCTCTTCCCCAGGCGATATTGTAGTCTGCTCTGTGCAAGATTTATTTATAGTCTCATCATTATTTGACTTTGAACTATCTTCTATAATTGACTCCTTTGCATTGCTTTCCGCAGCATCCTTTGCAGGCTCCTGCTTTTCATCGTCCTCGATCTCGTGAATTTCCACCACACCGCTTTGGTGCTCTATGATGCGCACATCATCGTCCACCTTATCGATGTCAATTATTTCCGGCTCCGGTTGTGGCTGGTGCCGTATAATCTCCGTGGCCTCCTGACTGCATGAATCTCCACTGCTGTAGTCTAAAATCGAGGAAGCATTCGAGGCTCCGCCACTGGTCGCCTCTTTGTCCTTCAACTTGTCCACAGTTTCCTTGATCTTGGTCTTCAGTATCAGTTGCTTAACCCCGGCATCTTTAAGGTTCCGCTCCAGCTGCTCAATTATCTTGGTGTCCTTCTGTTCGCGCAACTTTGTCTGCAGCAGCTGCGTTTGCATATTGCGTATGGTTTCTTGGAGCACCTTTATTTGCTTCTCACGCTGAACATAATCACTGCGCTCCAGAGTCATCTCATGTCGAATGGCCTCCAGTTGGCAGCGTAGTGAATCGTTTTCGTCCTGAAAAAATGCAAAAATTAGTTGGTTAGTCCATGGCTAAGTATTTTAATTTAGTATTTTTACCTTTAAGCCCTCACTTTCGTAGCGAATTCGCTTGGCACCGGGTCCGCGCCTTTCGTAGTCCCGCTCATCGTCGGAGATTTCCATTTCATCATCGTCGGGGATCTGAACAGTTCGTAGTTCCTGCATGGCATGCGAAAAGTACTTTAATTAATTTTTCGTTTCTACCTCTTGGATGGGGTTCTTTTGGTTTCGGTTCCATTGCTTACAAGACTTTTATCTATAACCTAGCTATAAAATTTGTGTATTTAAAGTATGCATCAAATTTGTTTCCTGTCTTACGACACTGTTATGGTCCGCTTACTTACCTCGCCACATTTTCAAAAAGTTTTAGAATTTGTTTTGATTAATTATTCTTTGCTATTAATAATTAATTTGTATTTGTTGCACAAATTATGATTCTCAGCTGCAATGTTTATTAGTTTTTTTGCGCTATTTACCACAACCAATCGATTTGACAGAGTGCCCCTCAAACCTCCAAAATTTGTTAATAAACTTAAATTTCCAATAAAAGCTTGGAAATTTGTGGACACTCGGCTAAAGTTTACGTTTAGTTCAAAGTATTTAAAGCTTATCGGAAATGTTATGCAAATGCTTATTTAAACATTGAGAAAGTTTATGAACGAAAAGTATACCAAAGCCAAGATAAGATAGACCAAAGCATTACAGATCAAGAGCAAAAGCTATAAATGTGAAAAAACCTGATAGAAATAGACTTATGAGGGATTATGAAGAGGAAACGGTTTTAACAGAAGATTAAATCCTTCATAATACTACTTTTTGATAGTTGAACTTAAAATTTGTTAACTTCTAGCAGTTTGTTTCTAATTCTAAAATAGTATAATGATAGGCAATTAAATAATACATTTTGATGTAGACTTGCAAATTACATCTAGGTTATTATTTTTTTGTTAAGTGACATCACAACTGATATGGGAATTTCGATAATCATTCATACAAACAACTAAATTAAGTATTAATGCACGAGACAAATATGGGAAATTAACAATTAATAAAGAGAAATTAGCAGCTTTAAGCGTCAGCAATGAAATCATACGTTATGATTATATAGGTCCGGTAAATGGGCGACATGCAGACTGATACTGGTAACACAAAATCGCGTTAGTAAAATTGTTAAACAACCACAGCAACACCACAACAATAATGGCAACAGCTACAACAACAAGAACGAATAAAACAACATGAAAAAGGGAATACAATAGTGAATCGAGTTTTTAGGAAATTAAATGACAATTGGTTTTTTATACACATTTTGCAACATCTTTGAAGTTGTTCGTATTTGATTATTTGAACATTTTAGTACGTACCGTGGCTAACTTCTTCCATTGATCGATGTTTTTTCTTTGGGCTTTGGTGAAATGGTCCCAAACCTTCTTGTGACTAGCGGCATTGAACACTTTTTCAATCTGAGTGACTGAACAATAATGCAATAATATATAATAATATTAAGGGAGGACAGAGGGTATTTTTTTTTTGTTTTTTTCTGGATTGGATTTCAGTTTTGCTCTTCACCTTTGTCAAACTAGACTTGCTCTTTTGCGAATAAAATGAGTGAGAAATGATAAATTGAATTAAACTACAGGAGAGACCCTCGCATAGCAATTATTTATGTAAAATAGTTACGGTTATTTAAGGTTGATATATTAGGTACAATCTAGAGAAAATACAACAGCGTGATTACCTATCTTTATGTTTGTCCGAGTCTGAGGGTTTTGGATCTACAAAGGAACTTGATTCCTTTACTGTACCAATAATTTTGCTTGAATTTGCTCTCTGCCTTGCAGCTTACAAACCTTTGGGCCAAATAAGACTTAAGACTTTTTTGGTGTTGTCGAGACACAGTGAAAGTGAGTGAGAATCAGCCGCACAGTGGAACAAATCAGTGAATGGGGCGATCAACGTGGTGCATACAAAATCGGTAATTAACTTAGCTACAGATATTGTTGTTCATTGAAATTTACGATAAGGAAATTAAGCTAACAAATACATTTTTAATTATAATCAGGGAATCAAACTATATTGGTTTCTCTTTAAATTGGTCTTTAAAGCTTTGCTATAAGTGACATCAGGATAATAGGACCATTTTCCTTATTGCTTCTTAGGTATAAATATTTAAATGCGACTGCATTTGTTAAAGTTTAAATCCCAGATGATAACTCAAACTTCGTTATAATTAAAAAGTAAATTGTGGCAAATTAAATATAAATATCTTTTATGGCCTCCTAATAATATCGCCTCATCCAATGATATTCGCTGTGCGGCGGGCTTTGACATTGTCCTTTTCGGCTGGGCTTTACCTGATCCTGCTTGGATTCTTTGAGCTTGCTCCTTTGACTTTTGGCGAGCAAATTTTAGACGGTAAGTTCTTATGTGGAGTTTCGGCATTTAATAATTCGATGACTAGATATGCTAATAAGTGTGTTGGGTGGGTGTATGGTGTGTTTGAGTGTAGGTGTGTGTGGGTGTATAGTACGCTGGTAGATCGTTTAGATATACAGACGCTAAAAGGCTAACCCGGGCGCAACGAAAACAGAAAAATAGGATTTTAAAGTGGGAGCGGCACCTAAATTCCCGTCTAGTCTAGAGCTAAGAAAGCTGATTCTCCGCTTTAAAGGCCGGAACACTTACATTGTGTGGACATGGTGCCCATTTGGTTGCGGTAGCTGTCCCTGGCCTTCTTGAGATCCTCCTCCAATTGCAGTTTGTCGGCATGTAGTCTCCGCACATGGGCATGAGTACTTTGGATCATAGAGTAAAAGACATTGGCATTCCTTTTGGTGCAATCTCCCCGTTCCAGCCAGGCTGTAATCGTTTGGATGGCCTTCACGAAGGTCTCGTTGGTCCGCAAGTGCTCCGCCACTGCCGTCGCCTCGTGATCCGTATAGTGTGGTATCGGTGGAGGCGACTGCGATCGCATCCTGTCCATCGACATGCGCTCCCGATGCCGCTGCTCCCTCTGATGCTGCCTCTGCCTGCATTCGTAATCATACTGATCATCTCGTGCCTGCGCATAGTCCACATGCAGCCGACCAAAGTTGGGAGGTTCATTTAGCGCCGATATACGCAACCTATAACCGGATAGGTAGATGGCTCTGTCTATGGCTCCCTCTTGGCGGTAGCGTATGTGACAGAAGTTTTTCTTGGACATGCGCAAGGTGGTGATTTCGCCGCACGACTCGAAGATCTCCCGGATCACCTCCTCAGTTATGTTCTCTGGCAGTCCGCCCACGAATACAGTACGGCAGCCAGGCGGTCTCTCCCGTATGGTGGGTGGTGGAGCATTCGGATTAGGCGGGAACAGGATGCAGTTCTTGGTCTTAATAACCTCCTTAAGGCCAGCTGGTGCAACGCCATCTGGGTAGGTGACAAGTATTAATAAAGTGGATATCCAAGCGGGTTATCTGGTTATCGATTCCTTACCCACACTGAGGGCTGCTTCTAGTCCTGCTCCAGGTTCCGTGGTCATTCCCGCTGCTGCAGCAGCGGCGTAGTGCATCTGTTGCATCTGCTGCATTGCCGCTGCCATCATGGCCGTAGGATCCATCAGCATCTGGGCATTAGCGGAGCTGGCTCCTGATGCTGCTGGTACGGATGTCCCTCCTGTCGAAGGCGTATTTCCCGAGGCTGGAGCACCGCCCGCCTGGGCCGCCGGAAAATACAGATAACCCGGTGGCGTGTGCATCAAACCGTTCAGGTAAAGTTGCGCCGAATCCGGCAGAGAAATCGATGTGGATGTAGCCTGCAATTTGGGTTCCTTGTGGGCCGTCGTGGAGCTCACATCCGTGGAGTGTTCGTTCTCGTTTTCCAGATCCATGGGTGCACTTCCCTGCGGTGGCTGCTGTGCTTTGGCCATCTTACTCAGGTTTTGTTTGGGTGGGGATGACGGATTTCCTACGACCGATGTCGTCGCCGTGGAAATTGCAGCCGCCAATTGGTTGAGGAAATTCGGGTGATTTGGCAAACTGGCGCCATTCGGCATGGTCCCAAAGAGGGGTACTGAAAAATATAACTCTATATTTATTATGGCTTAAATCAAGCAGAAAAACACCCCAAGCCGGTAGCAAAACAAAATAGCCAATCAGCTGAGAGCCCCCAATTTTTAATAGCCCCCTCCTTTTTTCTGGGGTGGCAGGGCTCCAAAATGGCGTAAGCCCCCCGCTGAAAAAAGTCAAATTAAGCAAAAATACTGGAATTCCTGACTTCCCCTGGACTTTTCCTTGGTTCTGCTTGTTTGGTTACACATTTTGAGAGCGTTATTAACTCACTATTTTTTCACTTACGCATTTTAACGCCCCACTAATTGTACGACAGGTAGGTAAAAAAAATAATTTTGTTTAGAGATGAGTGACTGCCCAAACCAGTGTTGCCAGTTGTTGAGCTCCCGCATACGCTAGATTCTGGATATAAATAGCCCAAACAAGTGGCTAAAATAAAAACAAGCTATATCCAAATGGAAGAAATCATAAAAACTATAACTATATTATAATTATTTATATGAACCCATTATTGGTTTCAGCAATTTAATAAAGAACTACACTTATTTAATGTATTTAGAGGTAAAAAATTCAGTACAGTTTTTACTCTCTTTAGAATATGCATATTTATGTCAAATTATCCAATTCATTGTTATTTATCGTTGCTTGAAATTTTATTAATGTAAACGACATAAATATTTTTGCGGATGATTGTATGAAGGTAAATTTATGCTGTATTATTAGCTATGGGCTTTTTAAAACTTTTTAAAGTTATTTTTAAATATGCTATCTATCCTGATATTTGCTAAGCTGCCAGCACTGGCCCAAACTAATCACCCTTCGATAAATATCGATTGCAGGTGGTTCACTTGTCAGCGTTGCCACACTTTTCTCTATGAATCATCAGCTGTCGTCAGATTTTGAGAAAAACAAAACGTAGTTGGGTGAAATTCGTGAAAATTTCTGTGGATATTGTTGGAAAACGAACTTGACATGTCGGTAAATACGGCCCACGCCAACAATGGTGTGCTAATCCATGCTGGAGAGTAGTAAGTATCTTGGAGGTCCTTAAATTACCACTAGCCTGACGTCACAAATGTAAACACTGACGTGTGGCTGCTGTTTTATTGGGAATCTATTGCCCAATGACCAGCGATAAGATAAAACCATGGGCTAACGTCCTATTCCTCCTCTCTCCACAGCATACTGCTCCACAGCGACAGCGTGTCCATGGAGTTTTCCGGTCAGGACAATCCCATCTTTAAAGGCTCCAAGGCGGGCAGGATCTACCTTACCTCCCACCGGATGATCTTTAATAGCAAGAAGGCCGCCGATTCGATGCAGTCCTTCAGTGCTCCATTCGTAGCTCTATCGGATGTGGAGATCGAGCAGCCTGTTTTTGGGGCCAACTACATAAAGGGAAAGGTTCGCGCCCAGCCAAATGGAAACTACGTGGGAGAAGTCAAGTTCAAGCTACATTTTAAGGCAGGCGGCGCCATCGAGTAAGAACATGTTCCTTTTCATTGCCTTCTAGATCGTTTTATCAGACCCATTTCTATTTAACATTTATGGGCTTAAATTGTATAATTCCTAATCTTAATCTGGTTATCCTGGTGCTAACGATACATGGAGTATTTGACAAAATTAACAAGATTTACCTCTTCTTTATGCATTTTATTTCATTACCAAATTTGTATATATTTCTTGTAGATATGGCCAGGCTCTTCTGCGCTCCGCCAAGACGGCGATGAACAACTACCATCGCGGTGGAATGGCTGGCGATGATCCGCCACCCTACCAACCAGCTGGAGCCTGGAACGAGGCGCCTCCACCGGCGTATCAACCGCCACCCGGCTACTATGGCTGGCTGCCGCAGCACGATGCCTTCAGTGGCCCGGCTCCCAATACGGTCTTTATGAGCGACAATCCGCCGCCATATCCGGGGATTGGTAAGTTAACCAGGCGGGCATTTCCACCATTCAACACTCGGCTTTTGTTCTGGCACTGCATCGCGAATTGGCAAACTGGCTTACCCACGAAATTCACGTTCCGCACACGCTTCGTTTAACCCACTGGGGCACTGCTCTCATTTTTCTCGTCTCAGCACCACCGGCGCACCAGCCAGCACCACAACAGCCGCAAGGTCCACCGCAAGGCCCGCCGCCGACTGAACCCAATTGGTATGGTTTTTCAGCACCGCCGCCGCAGCAGCAACAGCAGCAGCCGGGTTACGGTCCTCAGGGTTGGGCCGGCGGCTATGTTCAACCGCCACCGTATGCCTCCTGTGCTCCCAATTGTCCGCCAGGACCTCCGTACGCCACTCCGGCACAGACGTACAATGGACCGCAGCCTTATGGCGGATACGGCAATGTTCCCGGTGGATTTAACACTCCGGGACTGCAGCAACCGAATGGCTATCCAAATGGCTACCCAGGTGGACCACCGCCTCCGGGACAGCAAGCGGCAGGAGCAGCCGGAGGAACCGCTGCAGCCGGAGCCAGCTTCATGGGTTTCAGCTTGCCGCCAGGAAGTGAGTTTAATTTATTTACCATGATGTTGCATCGACCATAATTAATTTAACATTTCCCTCCTTTAATGCACCTTACTAAATTGATTAAACTTTTGCAGAAGATAAAATAACAAAAGCATAAGGACATGAAAATCCAAAAAATAGCAGCATGAAATTAATTAGCTTTAAAATGTTTTACGATTTTTGCAATGAAAATCTGAAAGTTAAAAAAGGGATTCAAGCAAGAAGCATCAAATATTAACAACTAATCAAGAAGAATCGATTAATTACTAATATGATTTTATTTCAAATCATCGAGTTTCAAAAATAATCAAGACACCTTCGGCTTACTCTGTATATGTATATTCTTTGTTTAAAATTTTAAAATTATATTTAGTGCGTTTAAAGTTTCAAAAATGAAATGTGAGACAAACTATTAAAACTTTAATTTTAAAATCAGTTAATCTATTTGATGTAGACGTTTTACGTTTTTTTTATTTTCCTATTTTAGATCCTTCAATCAGTTATTTCACCTAATACCCCATACCCGATTTAATATAATACTAAAACAAAATTAATTCAATTGTTCAAGTCCTAAAAGAAAACATGTTTCTTTTGACCTATTTTACAGTGTAATAAAAAGCAAACTACTGTCCTTCAAATAGCCATCCCGACAAGTAAGATTTATTGTTTCGATGTTACCTATGCCCAAAGCAAATACTAACAAAAGCCGAGTATTATTTTAAATTAGTCTACCCCGTTTGGTTTAGTGTCATGTTTAATGGTTTCTTCTTTAACTTTTTCTTTACCACCCACAAAAATGCGAACCTTTAGTAGCAAGATTTGGCAGCACTCATCATTATTTCTATCCAATCCAAAGACCTATGTGTGTTGTACTGGTTCCTGCTCTAATACCATAAACACAAACTGTAAGAGATGAAATGTAATGGTGTCAACTTTTTATAATATAAACATAATCTAATTAAGAAATATCTCTGAATAGAATTATATATTTTTTGTTATTTTTTTCAACAGATTCCAAAGAAGCAGAAGCTGCAGCAAGTGCTTATAACACACCCTATAATCAAGGCGGACCCAGTGGATCAGGAAACAGTGACTTACCACCTTCTTATAATGTAAGTAGAAGGAAAATGCATCTTGAAAACGGTCTTACCCAGTATATTCTATTATCCCTAGAACTTGCCACCCAGCTATGATGATGCATCGAAAAAAAACCACTAACAAGGACTGCATGATAAATTCCCTTGTCCAAAATTTAACAAAAGTAATTACAGCTCATTCCGTTGAGGTTATTTAAACACAAAATATGTTATAGATGAAAGTTTTCTGTTCTTGTTTTCTTAAGTGCTTGAAAATTCGGTATTAATGTTGATCGAATTCTTTGTTAAGCTACTTTTTTATATGCTTTAAATTCTGGTCACAAAATTAGATTTTGCTTTCTATCTTGTTTGACGGCTTGATAAATTGTCTTTATAAAATTATATTACACAACTCAAATGATTGTTAAATGAGATATACAAACCTATTTTAACCGTTATTAAATATATGTCCATGTATTATATAAAAGTAATCAATCTTCAAAATCATGCGTTTTTGTGCTGTCGGATTCAGTTTCTTAAGGCTCCTAGCTATTTACTTTAGTAAACCGGGGGAAATTAGGTTTCTGGCTCGTGTTTTAAAATTTCGTTATTGAAATAATCAACTAAGGAAGGTTTTATTATATCAATGACCAAATAGGTTGAAATCGTGTCCTGAGAGTCTTTCTCGGAACAGCCAGTTCATGGAAAAGGTAATCAAAGGTGGAAGGGATTGCGCTCAGTTAAAAATATTAGATATTATCTAACAAATTTTATAAAATATGGTCATTATATTTATTTTTAAAACAATTAAAATACAGAGGAACTCGAAATCAACCAAAAATGGCCAAATTGCTCACACTTGGTCACGCTCCAAGTAAAGAAGAAGACTTTCATTCAGAGCCGACAAAACAACAACAGGCTGATTTCGGTCAGTTGTATAAAATCAATCATACGCCACATGCGCAGTGGCGGGCGTGGTGAGAAAAATGCCAGGACTCAGACAAGCGTAGGATGGAAAGCAGATGTCTCTCGAATAGCTGTTCAAATAAATCCAGTTTATAGTGAATGTACTAACGCTGAAATACACTTTAAAGCATAGTCAAATCAGCGGAGTTTTGTGGCTATAAAAATGGTCCCAAGTGGCTGATTGCCAAGACAGCAACTTGTGTGTTTTTTTTTATCGATTTGTGTTAAATCTGCACCCTGTATGCTAGAACCGCTGGCAAAACAACAGCGCCCTTACGCCCACTTGGTGGACAATTTGCAAAATAATGCCAAGGTCCAAAAACCATCGGCGTAATTAACAAGGGGATTTGCCATCCGAAAATCGCATCGAAAACAACATTAGCATACCATGGATGGGGGTGGACAGGATACCACCTATGAGCCGCTGGATGGACGAGGCTCTGGTCGTTCGAGGAGCACTAATTCCACAGCTGGATCCGGACTGAGGCATCCTGGAAGCATGGACAGTCCCGAGTTCGATACACGCGCCCCCAAGGATCAGAGGCACTCCGTCTACCTGGCTCTCCTGGCAGCGGGCATTGGTTTTGTTTTGCCCTACAATAGGTGAGTATTACTGCAAAAATAAAATGTTTTAAATATATTTATTAATTTTTATGCGTTTTTGCTCAAAAAAATGATATTTTGAATATTATTTTGAGTATATTTTGAATATTTATTGGTAGCTAAACCTTAATTTTAGTTATAAATTCTAGGGTTTCATAATTTTGGCAGAAATTTATTTTTAAAAGACCATCTTAATCTTTAGAAAAGCAAATGAAATGTTAAACATTGCGATACCAAAGAAAAGTAGTTTAAATACCTTGTTTTTAATTATCAAGAGTTTGGTTTATATATTTTGCTTAATTTGTAATATATATAAATGCTACAATAAGACATCGATCACTTGTTGTTAAGTTTAATGCCAGCTTACACTTAGAACCAAAAATTATAATAATAATTTTGGGAGTATATAGTTTCCATCGCCTTTTTTTAAATCGAAACCTTGCTTTTAAATAAATTAAGGTTTTAATTATTATAATTATTTTTCAGTTTTATTATTGCGGCGGACTACTGGCAGGCGCGTTTTCCGGGTCGTCCGGTGGCCCTGGACATGTCGATGACCTATATTTTCGTGGCCTTCGGCACCGTGCTGATGAACAACATAGTGCTATCGGTGGCGCCGTTCCAGTCTCGGGTGCTCTTCGGCTACATGATATCCTTCACCACGCTGATCTTCGTCGCTGTTTGCGAGGTGGCCTGGCACATGTTTGCCTCCAACACCGCCTACCTGGTGAACATGTCGGCGGTGGCCCTGACCGCCATCGGATGCACTGTACAGCAGTCCAGCTTCTACGGATTCGCCTCCATGCTGCCCAAGCAGTACACCCAGGCGGTGATGGCCGGCGAAAGCATCGCCGGATTCCTGGTGTCTTCCAATCGTGTCGTTACCAAGCTGCTGATCAACAACGATCGCGTCTCCACGGTGATCTTCTTCCTGACCTCCACGCTCTACATACTCTTCAGCTACCTGCTGCACGTGGCCACGATCAACTCGCCGTTTGTGCGGTTCCATGTGGAAGCCTGCTCCAAGATTGTCCTGCGACCGGATGAGGTGAGTCTCCATCCAGTCCAGAAAATGTATTCAAAAATGCAAGTCAAAAACAATGGCTTAAGAAGCCTTCTTAAATCGTTATGAGTTAGTCTTTTATCAATTACTATATATGGTAAAACTTGTTTTTATCAGTTTCGAGAAGGCTTCTTAATGATTCATATGTTTTCGAAAAATCGACATAGTCTTAACATAAATTGATCGATTTGAAGCTCGTCAAATTGTTCATTATTCCAATTTTGAATCTTATACAGCAGGAGATTGACGGAGTTACAAGTGGTACTCGGTACGGTGTGCTCTCGATGGACGGAACCCATACCACGACCACAGCGGTGGGTCCTCCAGGCAGCGGAAATACCCTGAGTTTCAGCAATCCCGTTTACGAGCTGTCCAATCCAACGGCCGGCGAAAGTAGTATCGAGTCATTGGGCCAACTGCCTGAGCTACCGGCCACGCCCCCCGCCCAGGAGCCCACAACGCCCACGACGGTGGCCTTCAAGGTATATTTCACAAAATTTGTTTAATTTCTTGCTTTTAAAAACAGTTTTGGCTGAAGTTCTAAGTTAGGAGATAACTTACCTAAAATAAGAAAATCATTTAAGAAATAAAATATTTACTAATGAGAGCATAAGATTTGAAGAGCATAAAATGTACATTTTTAATAACATAGTTTATTTTAATACTTAATATTTGTATTATTACATTTTTGCTTATTTTTACGAGCTTTCTTTTTGGTAGTGAAAAAGTGGTAAAGTGTCGTCTTAGGCTTTGGTTATTTTGTTGTTAATATTTCACAATGAAAAATAAAAATGTACAGCTGCGGTCAAAATAATAGTTCCTTCCAAATTCTTAATCCTTCTTCAAGGTGGAACACGTGATCACCCCTCGGCGCTGCCGGCCGAGCAAGCTAAGCGACATCCGCGAGGGATTCGTGACCCGGTGGCGGGTGGCCCAGGTGATCTATCCGCACATGGTGTGCATTGCTTTGGCCTACTGCGTGACCCTCTCCCTGTATCCGGGCATCGAGGTCGAGGTGCAGTCCTGCGCCCTCCGCTCCTGGATGCCAGTGCTGCTGATGTTCTGCTTTAACACGTCAGATGTGGTGGGCAAGATCCTGGCCGCCAGTCCGTATCCCTGGTCGCGTCGCCAGCTGATCCTGCTGTCCGGCTTGAGGATCGTCCTGGTGCCGCTCCTGCTGCTCTGCTGTGCGCCTCGCCAGCGACCCGTGATCTCCGGCGAAACGGCACCCTTTGTCTTCACCATCGCCCTGGGGATCACCAATGGACTAGCCGGCAGCTTGCCCATGATGCTGGCCCCCGCCAAGGTGCCGGGAACTCTCAAGGAGGTCACTGGCAACATAATGACCTTGTCGTACAACGTGGGTCTGACGGTGGGCTCCCTGATCGGATACGTATTTGAGAGCATGCTGGGGCCACAGCTGGTGAATCCCTGTCCCACCTATCCTTATGTGCCCGCCTCGATGCTGGACCAGTTCCATGGGCATGGCCATGGACACGGCCACCTGCCGCATCCGCTGCCGCTGACCAGTACCAGCACGATGAGTCCACCAACCACGGGCGCCACCACACTGGCACCGCTCCTGCTCAACACCACGCTGGCCAGCCTCGGATTGCCCTCGTCCAGTTCCACCACTAGCACCGCCAGTCCGGCCCTGGCCACCGTGATCACCACAACGGCTCTGGCCCTCTACAGCACTGTGGCCACGGGCAGTGCCGAGGTCATCAATGCCACCATGTCCTCGATTCTGTCCACAGTGACCAGTTCGGTGGGCGATATCAGCGACGAGATGACCACGGATCCTCAGACGCCCGATGCACTGCTCGATAATATCTAAGAAAGATTTTAACCATTCAAAGTATATGGAAAAAGCGCCAACTCAACATTCCACTCAGCCATATCTACATTAAAAAAAGTATTCCTTATAAGTTTCTTTCAAGCCTTTGTATGACAAGATTGTATAGATTGCTCGTAGAATTTTAGGTATGATTACATTTGTTTATGCAATGGCAAATCATTATCAAGGAAACGGAAAAACCATCTATGATTTATTCCTGCTATTGAGTTAGTTTTTAGAATAGCAATAGCAATATTCTTTAAAATAATTTTTAAGATACCTCAAATTTTCACAACTTTTTATAAAAGAAGCAATGGCAAAGCAAACAAATTTGATCATTCAAATACCTTTTTTAATCAATTTTTTAGAGCTTGTGTAATGGCTATAAACAAAGGAAAATGAGTAAATTTTCAAATATATATATACTTCAAGCTCAATTTAAATACAAAGTGAACAAGGATTCCAGTTAATAGCAAGCGCAAACTTCTTACTATAGGGCAATACTAATCCTGTATGTACCATATACTATATATCTATTACTATAAAGTGTCTAGGGTATTTGTGCTTTCGGTTTGACTACAACTGTTCTAGGGTCTGAAGTCTAGTACCTACATATTAATCCCCAAATATACTCCAAACAAGTGCTATGGATTTCAAATTGCAAACCTGTTGACTTAGAGAAAATATGTATTAAATGTGAAATGGTTATTGGTAAAAAGACCTGGTTATTTTTGTAAGAGTGAGAAATGGATAACTGCAGATGCAAGCAACTAAATGTTAACTTCAAGAGCGTATTATACTCAAAACCAGAGAATAACAGCGGTAAAATTAATAAATATATGTATTTATATATTATTTATTTCTGTTAAATTATCTTTGTATAAACTAGAAAAATGAGAAGAATAAGTGTTGTAAGCATTGTAAGCCATCAAGTGCAAAAGCTGGCCTTAACTTAATTTGTTGCTTTTATATTTATTTCTTTGGCTAAATTTGTAAGATGAATGGTAAAGAAATATGTGTATCGTTAGGAACAAATTTGATGCAAACATTAAATAAATGGTAATATAGAAATATTTAAATATATACTTTAAGAACTTCATTTGTTTCATTGAGGAAAAATCACATTTAAAAACAAGAAAGGAAGCAAACTTCAGCAAGACGAACTTTATAAGCCCTTAAAGCTGTTGCAAGAATTAAATGTTAGAAACATTTAAATTTAAAAAAGAATTCGTTTGCGAAGGTGAGACAACTGATATTTATCAGATAGTATTCGATATTTATATCGGTTTATGTCCATGCTGTACAACTATCGATAAAAAGGATATTTTTTCAAGGAGTTGGCAGAGCTGTTGCTTTTAAAATTCTCGCAGGATGGCGCCCCTTACTGACAAAAGCTAGACTGTACGATATGCGTTAATAGCTAATTGTACCCTTAAGAAATTTCCTCTTGGAATGGGCATTTATTTATGTGTTCAATCTTTTCCAGTCACATTGAAAATACAAGATTTGGCTTTATTTTCAAATAATTTACAATCTCCAAAGATTCTTTAAAAATAGAAGTATTTTTTTTTTTCTAAAAATGTCCTTCCTCGTTGAGCAAAGCTATGGAAAAAGTGCTGAGGCAAAATTTTGTAGTAGACTCATAAGTATTTTATTTGTATACAAATTTCCCAGCCTTGTATATAAAACCGTATAATTATAGCAAATGCTTTTGCGGACATTTTTTGTAATCCCCATTGTATATATTAAAAAGTAAGAAAAAAACTCCCATGATGGCGCCACTTACTATTGATAAAAAGGATATTTTCAAGAAGTTGTCAGAGCTGTACGTTTCATAATATATCCTTCCTTATTTTGCAAGATTATAGAAAAATGTGAATTTGCCATAATTTTATCATTATCATTACCCAATAATAATAAAATTATGGCAAATTCACTTGCTGACATTTGTTGGAGTCCTTGCATTGTATGAAGTAGGAAAATAAAAAAACCTCTTAAGATGGCGCCACTAACTATTTTATTGTGCGTACCTGTTGTTCAGCTCACAAATTTCAATCTATGAATATTATTTAAATTATGGTAAAGTACATTTTTTAAATTTATTTATGTTTTAATTTAGTCAGTATTTTATATGGCATTATTTTCATTATGACACTAATCGGACTCTTCATAATCTTGATAACTGTTATCAACCCGCTCCAATTCTATGAATTCGTCGTTATATTTGGTTAACTGAAATGTGATATAGATAAGGTATTAAAAACCCGGGAGTTCCCTAAAAAAGTCCTTACCTGGCTTAGCCTTGTAAAATCACTCCACACTCCACGCAATTTAAATGGCGGCTGATCGTTAGGATTCCTAAACAACTTACAATGGTTTATGATTGCGTTAATATAATTCTGTCTTAGGAAGCCATAGTATCGATAAAGAGTTATTGATCTTATATTTGGGCATGACACCAGAAATGAAAAAATAAAGTTGGGCTCAAGTATCGCCGCGTAGTGAGTCGAAGTGATTTCCAAAACTTCCAGGTTTTTCAGTTGGATCAGAAAGAAGACAAACTTTTTTGCGGCGAGGCCGATTCGTAAATGCTTAAGTCCATTCAGCTTCGTTATCTCCACAAGATCTAGAAATTCCAGGTCGGTATTATCAAAAATCAAGCTCTGCAGGTTCGGTAAGGCATTAAGTTCTTTGAGGAGCTCCCACATTAAAATATTCATGGGGTTATTTATCTGTAACACCGTAAGATTTCTGAGATGTGCTATATGTTCAATGTCGTGCAAGTGGTAGAAAACGCATTCAAGGGATCGCAAGTTGTCGAAAATCGTTATCAACCTGACGTCATGCGATGAAAATGAAAGTTTTTGCAGCCTTTGAGGCGACTGCAAGGCAATAGACCTCAGCAAATTTGCCACGGCTTCGACTTTATAATCAAAATAAATCCTAAGTTCCACTAGGTTCGGCAGATTTCCCAAAAGTTCCAAGTTAACCGGCGTTAAACTGTCATACAATTCGGTTAGAAAATCAAACTGCTCAGCTAAGGTTTTTTCCTCTGGCAGAGAAGTTAAAGTATGAACAGGGATTTGGTTCTGTTCGTAAGTGTATGTACTCGGTGGCAATCGACACTCTTTACAGTATTTAACGCCTGCATATTTTGTTTTATCGGTCGAGGGCTGTGACCAATTTTGTACTTCCGGCAAGCCCAGCTGCAAGCTCTCCATGGACCTTAACCCAGTAAACTCGGCAATTTCTTCGGAAACAAGTTTTGTCCTTTGAATTGTTAGGCTCTTGAGTGCTTGAACCTTTTGGAGTGCGAGATTCTTCAACAATTTTCTCAGAGATCCTTGTGGATGAACGGTCAGGATTAGCGTCTCGAGTTGATTCATCCCAGCCAGTAGATCCATATTTTTGGAGCAGAAGAAACCGCTTTTTAGGGTCTTTAGGCTGCGAATCTTCACCAGCTCTGCAAGCTCTTCGGGGTCAAGAAAAACAGCATCTAATTCTTGCAGAGTGTGTGTTTTCAATGAGGCTAATCTTTCGAAGAGCTCTAATAACGAGCCGCCTATATTGTTTCCCTTGATCACAATTCCTTTTAAGTTTCTCAAATTTGCTAGCGGTGCAAAGATTTTGGGAGAAATCCTATCGTCTTTCTCGAAAAAATTTAGACTAAGAGTCACAGATTCGAGACCATGGGTCAAACGAATCTCAAAACATTCAATTCTGATGCGATCCACTCGTTTTTCTGCCTCCGTAATTCCTTTCATCTGCAGGAGTTTCACTGCAATCATCTGCTCCACTTGAGTGATGGAACAGCGGATGGTGGTCAGCGTCGGTATGGCAGCCATCGTAGTCACTTCTTGCTCGGAAATTGGATCGTTCTTAAGCAAAACTATTTTTTCGATGCAGACCGCCATGGCTGATGATGATATTAAATTAGGCAAAGTTGTGGTATCGTACCCACCCTCAACACGGAAACGGTTAATTTCTCCATATTCTTGATCAGAAGCTTGATGCCATAGCTTTGGATCCTGGGACTTCATCGACTGATAGAATGCATCGTGCATTTTGTTCACGAGCCGATTTGCCCGAAAAGTAACTCTAATGCGATCACTCACACTATCATATTGCTTGGGATGAGGCATTAGGCAAATATCAGTCAGGTTTCCGGTTAGAGGTAGATCGGAATATACAGACGTATCCCGCATACAGCACTTGAGTGAAATCAATATGGGCATGGATGCCAAAGCAAAGGCCTCTTCGCTACTTACATACGTTTCCGGGATGCAAATTCTTCGAACCTGCTTCTCCGGCATTCCCTCATCGCGATGCTCGTTACGAAGTATCTTTCCGTGGGTGATCATGCGGTGGGTCTGCTTCTCTGCCAATCCTTGAAAGAGCTTCACCAACGTTCCCTCCTGATGCTCGCCAAGGAGTGTTAATTCGTGCAGATTTGAAAGTTTGGTAAGGCGCTCATACTCCACGGCATCAACTCCCTGCTTCATCACAAAACTCAGGTACTCGAGTTGGCTGCAATGCTCCACTATGTCCGTCAATCTGCCATAAACCTCGTTGTTGCCCAGCTTGAGTCGCCGTAAATTTGGATTTAATTCGCAGAACTTGCGCAAAGTATGGGCTTTTATATGGGCATCTAGCTGGAGGCTTTCCAGATGGCTGATCTCCGGCAGAGTTTCGAAACTATATCCTGATAACATACCCCACATTAAAAGCACAATAATGTGGAGACTTTTTCTATATTAACATACCTTTTAGTTTTACATTAAGCTCACGCAATTTGTTCTTATTTTTGAGACACCTTATAAACTCTTCGAATCTGTCAAAATGTTCGGGGTAGTAACGTGTTGGTTCATAAATTAAATTCAAGGATTCCAGTTGTTCGTTCTCCCTGATGTTGCTTAGATAATCCGTCCAGAATATTTTCTTTTCTTTCATTGAAAGACCTTCCATATGGTCATGTAGATTTGAGAAGTCGATTTCTACCCATCGAGATCTATTTAAAAATATGTTTTCAATGCATAGTTTCTTATAAAGATCTGGGCTCCATTCCTTAAAGGCTTTGGTGAATCTCTCGCAGCTGATTGCAAAGTGGATGAGATCAATGTACTTTAATAAATCATCCTTGCTATCACTGGAAACGCAGTTTCTTTCGATTTGACGAAAAATTTCATTGAAACAATAATAGTTTAAGTTATAGATTGTTACTTTTCCGTTGAAACCGAAATATTCTTTCATTTTTCTGACTGTCACGACCTTTTGAAGCGAGTGTTTGGACTGACTATCAGCAAGCAAAAAAATATTTATTTTGGCGAAGTTGTTATCTGCCTGTTTTTATAAGTGTTGTTCTTCACTCGCTTAACTCCAATAAAAACGCGCTCTTTGTGGAATCCAAATTCTAAATGCGCTTATTTTAAAAAATGTTCTTACTTTTGAGTATTAATATTTTCCTTGTATTCCGCGTTGTAGAGATTGTTCAACATCTTTTAAGCTTCTATCAAGTCACTGTTGTCTTTAATTTCATCGTCTAACATTGCGATATTTTTCTAAGCAATTGTCAATTCCATTACCGACTTTTGCAACTTATTTATAGTGCTCTTACTTCTTGTATTCATAATGTCAGAAAATTTAAAGACAAATAAGTATATAATATTTAAGTATATTTATTGATTAACTAACAAGGAATGCAGCCACCTTTGAGACAAATAATTTTAAACACCCTTACTCGATCACACGCTGCGTTTTTATGCCGATAATCAACATTCCTTATCGGAAATACCCTCTAAAAGAGTAAAAAACTGTGTTATCTTATCAAATGTCAGCCTAGAAGTTGTAAAACCGTTAAGGTGTTGACTCAACTTCATTCATAATACCATTATAAGGATTGCTAATTCGATTTCAGATATTTCGTTGTCTTCTTTTTATCAACGAATTTTTTTTTTTTGCTCACCAACAGGCTTTGGAGAAATTAAGCTATATAAATGTAAATGATTTAATATCGAAATTTGGTTTTTCTTTAATTACAAACGCAACGCCCGGGGAACATTCTGCATTTGCCGAGAGCCCAAAATGAATACAAATTGAATCAATTAGACGGAATCCGCATGGAAATGAAAGCCAGAGATAAAGCTTGGGAAATCGGGAGCGATTGGCTTCGGCCAAATGCAAATTTATTTATGCTTTCCCCTCGTTCTTTTCGGCAGTTGCCCGCTGGGCGGTATTTTCCATTTTGCCGGCGGAAAAGTGGCAGGGAAAACAGGTTAAGTCGAGAGGACAACCCGGAACCAGGTTCAACAACAGAGTAGGCAATTAAATTTATTTTATTTCTCCCTTCCGTTTCTTTTTTTAGAGGCTTAAGGAAATGGTGGAAAACGTACACAACATTTGTGTTGCAGGAAAAGCTCGGCTGCAACAGCAATCTCCCTTTTCCTCTTTGCGTAGATAGCGGAAGTGCTTGGCCCTGTTTTTGGGCACGCCCCAATTGCATATGAAGCTACTTTTATCGATTGCCTGCAGTTCGCACTTTGCCTACGTATTTAGGCCTCGTCCTGGTGGCTTTTTGGCCCCGTCACATCCCGGTCCACCTCCTACGCAATGTCATTGTCCCTGGGCGACTATTAACCTTTTGTGCAGCAATAACTTAAAGGGGAGTTTTCCTCAATAATATGGTGTATGGCCCATGTGCAAGGCCAATGAACCAAGGATAAGGGTCGCAATGGCAAAAGTTATGAGTACAAGTTACTTTTAACAATTAAAGAAAAAGTATTGGTAAAAACTAATCTTCAAAAATAAATAAATTTAATTTTGTATTTATTTTTTACACTTTTTAAAAAGAAAACTTACATTTATTTGACTTTTATTTTTATTAAAAACAATTTTAAATTTGGACATTATCTATGGTTTTATTTAAACTACCTTTTTCTTTTTAAAACACATATATATTATATAATTAAATCTTAAATTAAATTAAAAAATCAAAGATTAAATTCTATTAAATGTAAATGGCCTACAAATTTTTAAATAAATAAGCAAAACAAAATATTTTTATTAAATTATCAACTCTTGTTCCTGCAAAGATTGTAAAGTAAATTAAAATCACTAACAAATTATTTGCTTAAAGTTTAATTAGTATTTTAACTATTCTTAGAGTAAATTTTAGATAAACTACAGTGATTGCGATTTAAGTTTACCCTTTAGTACTTGCCCTTAAAGACAACTGTTTGCCGACTTTTAATAATAACTTAGTCCCCTTGAAAGTTCCAACTAAAGTCGAATTTTGCACCCCATTCAGCATTTGGGGGGCTTCAGCCACATAAATTCCCCACGAATGGAGGCCAGGGGAGGGGCGACTTGGATCCGGAGGCAGAAGGACGCCGTCGTCTCCACGGTTCGCCGGGGCAACAAAAACAAGAGTGGAGCCAAGCAGAAGAGCAGCAGCAAACTGCTTCTAATAACAACAATCAACGCTCTCGCCTTCGAGTTGCTTGGGTGCTGTGTAATTACATGACAGCAACAGCAACAGACAACAACTGCAACAGCAACGGCAACAGCAACAAACAACAATGGCAACAACAACCACGGCAGCAGGAGCATTACGAATTACGATAATAATTTCCATTTCTAATTTCCTTGCCACGCAAAAGGCCTTTGCACTTGCCGAGGTTGCCAAGCTGCAGGGCTGAACTGCAACCGCCCACCTCCCTCAGTTACTCCCAGGACCAACGCCCACCACCCACCACCCAACGCCCAACGCCCACCACCCACCGCTCAGTGCCCATCGTCCTTCCGGCAACAACAGGCTAAACAGACGGCCGAAACACTTGGATTAAAAATGGTAAGAGATTATTAAGAGGTTTTATCATTAAAGCTTTTTCAATGAAAAAAACAAATATTTTAATTTAAAATTTTAACTTTATAAAATTTAATTAAGTTTAAAACATGAAAATTTAATTATATACTAAAAAACATGTAAGACAATACAACAAAATTTAAAATTAAACTTAAAAAACAAGAAAAAATAATAAAAATAAATAAAATAAATATATTAAAATACACTTGTTTGTGAACTTTTCTTTATTAAGTTTTAGCTTAAAAATACCATACTAAACATATATATATGCTGGTGTTAAACGGAACAAGTTTAAAAAGCATATATAAATACTGAAACACTGTTATAAAAATTATTCATTTTGGAACTATAAAAGAAAAAGTGTATAAGTTTCAGCAAAAATAACTTACAATGCTTTGAATTTCATAAAGTCAATCGTTAAATATTTGAAAATAGAAAGTACATTTTGTTTCAGTGTACACAAATGGAGGGAAACAGGGAGTTGATTGCAGAAGAGCCAGGACCAGACGTTGGCATAATTTCGATGCAGAAATCTAACAGAATACAAATGCAATCATTGACTTTTTAGCTTATAACGAAATAAGCGTCGTGTTTATTGGTTGGCTGAACGAGCGAGCACCAGACCCGAACCCCCCTTCGACCTCCTGGAAAAACTGTGGAAAACAGGACCACATTGCCGGAACTCTGGGGAGTGCACTTATAAATTCAAAGCCTTGGCTGGGCCACTAACTGGGTGGTAATGACTACTGGGTTAGAATCAGCTGCAACTAAGATTTACACACAAACTAAGCCTAAGGTGGCAAAAATGGCCAGGCCAGTGGTAAGAGAATTGTGTATTTTCTACAAAAATAATAACCATTATGTTAGTTCGTGCTATGGGCAGCTTTAGTTTATAGAATGCACTTTAAGCATATTTTACGAAAATACTTTAACTCTATTTAGCTTGGTCAAATTTAATATTCATATGACAACTATGACAATTTTCCTAAAATGTTGTTCAACTGTCTTTAGAAGTGTATCTTTAAATCTTTAAATTTGAACTAAAGATTGTTACTTCTGAATTAATCTAGTGCAAAAAATAAATTCTTTAAAATCATACATTAACATTTAAGTTAAGACTCATGTTTATGGTTATACTTTAAATTTATAAATTTAAGTCTTTGACACTTTTAAACATTTCAGAGAGTATAACAAATGTGTTAACTCTGATGGCAGGTATTCCCTGGAATTTTCCTTTACCCTTTCCATTTTTCTTAAAGATATCTGCTGTGAATCTGGTGAGCCACCTTGGCCATATCTCTGCCACACTTTCTCGCTATCTGCTCGTCTTAAATGGGCTGAGTGTTCCACATGGCAGTGCCAATCGAGGATATGCGTTGTCGGCTGTCATCGGGCAGGTGGAACTTTCATCCTTTCATCCTTTCATCCACAACGAAATTTCGTTTTATGCCGCGCCACGCCCAGTTCCTCCCAGGACGTTGCTTTTGTTTTTGTAATTTGATAATGCATTTGATTAAGGAAATGAAATTTTTATTAAGGCTGTTTGCTCATTCGCGTCGCTGGCATCGCGCCTTTCTTTTATGATTTCCCCACTCACACAGTGTGTGTGTGTGTGTGTGGGCCCTTTTGCCCTTTTTTTCCTCCGCATTTTTCCCTTCGTGAGGCACTGTTTTGTTTTTCCCCACTTGCGCGATTTTTCTCTAACCCGGCAGTTTTGTTTTCGCATAATTTCTTTGAGTGCGGTTTGGATCTCGGCACTTTTACGATGCGCCAGGAAAATGGGTGGTATGTGCTACCTGCGGATTGCCGCTTTCCCTTTCTATTATTCAGTCGCAAAATTTGCATTGCAATGGTTAAATATATAATATAATTTTTCCCTCACAATTCCGTGGGCCATTGTATTTTTGGCTATGACTTTGTTATCCTTTGTCTGAATTTCCGAAGGTGAGTATGTGTGTGTGGGAGTGTGTGTGTTTAGTTAATGTGTTGATGGACAGATTGACAGGAAATAAATAATGAATGTCCGCAAGGGAATCGTAAATAATATAAAATCAGGCATTGTAATTGCATTTCCCCACCGCGAATAACAAACCGCACAAAAATGATTGTGTTTGGTGTTCCACATTTTCCCCAGCGGACGCGAAAATTTATCACATTTCTTTTTGTTTCTCCACGGCCTGGGACATGTCACGAAACGAGGGGTGGTGGGGGAGGGGGGAGGGAAAATCCTTAGGAGGGCTTTTCACTGGCAAAGAGTGCAATGGAATTCGTATTCAACACCATGGAAAACCCTTCGTGCGCTAACTAAGTGCGCTCATTCAACTCCGAAAAACAAACTTTTGCTATTGTTATTACATTTTTTCACATTTTTGTTTTTCGCGAAAACGGG